TTATAAAACGTGTCATTGAATTTGAGTATCTATTAATTTAACAATGTGTAAAATGATTAAATACAAGTCGTTGCTAAATACGAGTTTTCGTCTAGTAAACCTAGATGTGACTCTGAGGATTATTTCAACAGATATGTCGGATCTGATAACACAGTCTACGGCATATTTCTTGTTTTATCCGCAATAAAGCGGTTTCATTAAGAGTCGTCTGTATGGACATAAGTTAAACGAGAGAGATTCTCCGCGTTTATTTATTCATTTCTGACGTCGTAATCCAATGTGGGTGACAATCCAGAAGATTAAAGCACAAAAAAGTTAATTATATATGCAACCTTCGCGTTATGTTAAATTTTATAAAAAAAATTTATTAACAATTTAGAATCTGCGTTTAAATTATTCTTAATTTATTCCCCTTCCCGAGGGAGGGGGACTTTAAAGAGCTTGATGTACCAAAAGCTCCGTTTGATAGATTAAGTCATCTTTACATAACATCGTCCATACGCTTATATAAACTTTTCTTTATTTGATGATCCGAGAAATCAGTTCCCTATGTAGATTCGGCGTGACTCACTCGGTCGAGCGACAACGCGCAAAAACCTGCATCAGCTGCATGTGCATATATGCGCGCATATGCATCGGCCATTACTATGACAGCTGGTCTGTCGCAAGCAAAATATAAAACTGTACTTGGGATCCGATCTTTATTACGCGAGAGATCGGAGACAGGCGTTCGCGCGTTCTCGGAAACGAATTACCTTCCGAGACCCGGGTGCCAATTAATCACTCATTGCCGTGAGTTGTAATAATGACTTAGAATTTTCTCCGCGACACGTTCGCGCTGCAAAAATAACGTTTCATCAGACCTGGGTCTCCCGTGGTCGTGCCGGTATTTGGATATCGGTTGATCGAGCATACCGAGCCGTCGTGCCAGCGCGGTAAAACTAATCGCGAATTCAATCGGCGAACACGGCGGTCGCGGGCTCGGCAGGCCGCGAGTGCATCAATCGGTGGGTCACGCGCGTGTTAATATTTTAGCATCAATCTCCGCCGCTCACTCGGAAACTGGACCAGTCGACCCTGGACCAAATCCCGACGAGCCGATGGCTGACGAAATGTCTCCTCACGAATTCCCAGTTCTAGCGCGCGACCTCACGATCCCTCTGTTCTTTCTTCTCCCTCTTTTTTTCCGCGTCTTCGTGATTGGAAAGAAAACGTGAAATGGCGAATACCGAGTAAATTCGTCATCAGATGCGAATGATCAGAAATAATGCAGTGCTCTGTGGTCGCCGATCGACGCCGATATGCGACCAGGGGGGGTCGATTTTGAAAGACACGCTGGAGTTTCAGGGATCAACTCCAAATCCGCGTGAAGGAGAAGAGAGAAATTAAAGAACGCGGATCCCTTTTCTCAAAGAACTCGTAAATCACTCACCGGTGTCGTTGTCGTGCCCTTGGGGCCCATCCCCGACATCCTCGGTGGCTGTGGAAAGTGCTGGAACAGATAAGGAAAGAGCAGAGTGAGATCGGGACGCGCACGGCCGTTTTAGAGGGACGCAGGGACGGGGGGCGGCAGAGAAGAGCGAGGGGGAAACGCGATTATTAATGCGGGTCGCGTCGTAAAGTTACGTGCCCTCGAGGCGATCGCGACCTTCCACGTTGACGGACGGACATTAAACTATAAGCATTAAGCTGTAGCCAGGCCCGCAACAATTAACCCTTTGACTGCCGGAGTAATTTATGCGACGTGACCTCTGGCTTGAGCCCCGGTAGAAAGATGAATGCGAAATTAGGCTTGTTTGCGTATTTGATTCTTACGACAGTCTCAATGCTGCGATATTATGTACAGCACGCCTCAAAATCACCGGATGCTGTCAGCGACAAATCTTCTGGTCAATTTAAAGCTTTTCTTCAACGAGCGAGACGTCAACAATTTCCGTGTTATAAGCAGTTAAACGGACTTTTCGCTAAACCCCTTCTGTGTGGAAGCTAAATGGATTAACTTTTTTAGTTAACATAGTAAATTGAAAATAAAATTAGTTTCTTTAATCAATTTTAGATAAAATTTGTCTTGAATTTTAATTAGAGGTCCAGTTACAAAGATATATGATATATAAACTTGACTTTATCGGTATTTTTTCTTTAGAAAAATCACTTTTATAAAAAATTTATTAAAGGATATTTGATGATTTCAGAACGTCTTGTTTAAAATCTATCACATATCATAAAAAAAAAATCATTATATTATATAATACAATTTCATATTTCTGACAATACTAACACATTTCCACCTGGGCGACAATCGTTCGGAGGAAGACAAAATAACAAAAGTTCTGGTAATTATAATGCCACGACTGAAGTTTATGTATATACCGCAACTCGTTTTATAAAGTTATGAAGACGAAAGGTGATACAGAGAATGATCAAGATCAGGATAGAGTTACAGCAAATGTGACGCTGAATGTCGTTTCATTAGTTGTATATAATGATTTAATTTTAGTGATATAATGGAATAATTATAATAAATAGTCATAAACTTCAATTTAATCACTTATAATAATATTATATTTTTTATTTTATTTATCTCGGATAAACGTTTTTTTGAAATTAATTATTATAGCATTATGACAGATTATGACACATTTTTTGTATCAATCTCAAGCAAAACACGAAGTTGTAATAACGTCATGATAACGTCAAAGTGACGAAAGTGACTTTTAATAATTATTTTGGAACCATTCTAACGTCACATTGACATCACCATCCTTTCTTCTGCTTGGGAATAATAATAGAACTATTTTACATGACTATTTCCTTTAATATGTTTCGTTGATTCATGCAGCTTGTTCATTTTTCTTTCCGAAACTTCACAATACACAATTAAGGTGCTATTTATCCTCAATTTTCTAGTTGCTGATATTTACTTTTCTCTCTGAGCGCAACCAAATGTCACCGCGAGTTGGTATAGGAACAATAGTCGTCGCGCGAACGACACAATCGCGTCCCTCGGTGCAGAACAATTTAATTTATTCAATTACGAGGCAACGCAATTTTTCGCCATTTATTCTTGATTGTTATTTACTCGATAGGCGCAAACACGCGTACTCGCACGATCGATCCCCACGCGGTGATTGGAGAACAAGCGTTTGCTCGGTGACCCATTAAGCCCGCAACCTGTTCCACGACAACCTACGTTGTAGATGTGAGCAATATCTCTCTGGAGGTTTCCCCCAGTATTTGCGCCCAGAAAAGACCGATCGAAGAAACAATCGTGACTTTTCTAAGTAACTCAGCTTTACGAGTGCCACAATGATGTATCACAATGTTTTCTCAGAAAAAGAATCTTGAAAAAAAAATCAATGAAATCTTATATCAACAAAAAGAACAATATTATGTAAAGATTGATGATTGACATGTAATTGTAAAGTTTCTTAAACTTCCTTAAACGAATCTATTCATTGCCTTTTAATTTGTTATCTTTAAAAATATTTAGATAAGACGCTATAAAATAAAAAGTTAAGATACTATAGAAGTAGGGCCGTGTATTTATACATAGCGTAAAAATGAGTTGAACAAAGAGGGAAGTTCCATCGTCGAGAGTGCACAAGGGATATTAGGAGAAATAAATAACGCATGCGGGATCCATTGGGATCCATTTTACGCGTTAATTCCCATAGAATGTATAGCATTTCCTATATGCGGCTCTATCTCGTCTAGCGCTGGGTGGAAAGCGCGTTAAAATCGATTGGCGGCCCCAGAAGAAAGTCAGTGTTAAACGTCGGACTCTCACTGTGATATAACGAGAGCGCGGGACATACGGTGTGCATCCGCGCTAAGTGGTACACCCGCGTTCCCTAAACGCGCTCGTTGCTCAAATCGCGCGGCTCGCGCCCGATTGCCGGAACCGGCTTCCCGATATATATAATTTGCCGGAACGTCTCGCGCGACGCAGCGTCTGAATATCATGGATTGCACCTGACACATTATACTTCGTCGCACGTGCACGTGACCGTCACAAGCGTGGCCAGATGCGTCAGCGAATCGCACGCTAATCGCGTTAATTAACGAATCCGGGCTTTAAATGCGGATATGGCCCGCGCGCGTGACGGCGGTTCCAAACAGCGGAATTACTACGTCATTGCGTATAGCAATGTTAGTCGATCTATTTGTATTATGATGACTCTTCTGTTACAACCGATTGGAAATCCATGTTTTTTGTCAGAAGTTAAACTTCAGGAATGTAAATGTTTATTTTAATAATAATAACAATAGCCTACTAACAATCTCATTATTTATGCATTTTGTTAATAAAGACTAACACGGTATGCAATATGTAATATATAATATGGAATAAATTATATGTAAGTATATATAATATGTATTATATGTATATATGTATAATATACATTGTATATAAATTGTTAAAGATTGCTCGAAACTTCCGTGCAATTTTAATTTAAAATTCAAGTACAAAACTGTTTTTGCTATTTAATATTTAACCAAAGATACTTAATATTCACTACTGAGAAGAGTTGAAAATCTTTCCCCTCTTCGTCCCATGACAAGGTCAGAGCTCCCATCAATTGCAGTACTCTATAGATGCGCGAGCCGAACGTGCTGCAAGTAACCAATTACATTATGACGTATGCAAATGAAAGGCGACTGTAACGACGGCTGTGTCCCCGTCTACTTCCTGTTGTCCACTTGGTACTTCCCCTCCCCCTTCCGCTCTTTTTCTGCTCTTCACCATGTGCGATGACCTGAGAACGAGCGATGATATTCAGCGAGCGAACGTGATCAAAATCGCGATCGCTCAACGCTCGAGTATTTTCTCATACATCTTTGTACTTGGAAATTCATGCATTACTTCATGTATTACCGATATCAACCGTGAATGCACGCTAAAACGGGTCCTTGAAACCTTGCGGTATTTACTTTTCTTTGTATAGCATTCCCTTGTGTAAATCTTGATCAAGCTCCTCTCTCTTCCTTATAGATCATTTTTAAGCGAGATGAAAAAAATATCTTTCCACAGGGTCATATCCATACATTTTGTAGAATTAAGAAATTTCTAGGCAAATTTACATATCAAAGTCAAGGTCCCTAAGTACAATGCCGACATTAATTATTGCATCATCTTAAAAATTATTTATTTATTAAAAGTTTAGCGGAGATACTCTTTATACATACTTTATGTACGTAAGTAAAATATTTTTATCGTTGTGGCAGTCCGTGTGTGTATTTGGTATCATGAAATCAGCGTTGATACAATAAAAAATTTAATTGTCAATGCCAAAGAAATGTCAGGCTGTAATCAAAGCCCATGACAGCAATACTAAATATTAAGAAAAAAAAAACGTATTAAAATGTTAATATGAATAATACTTCCTGAAGTTATCTACAAATGTAACAAGATAAAATAAGCACATTGGATTAAAAAACTAATTTATTTATTATTTCGATTTTTATGAGAAAAATTGATACAATGATGATCTAATTAGATTTAGTACATTAGAAACGCTTGTTTAAGAACATGTATACGCAAACTTCAGTAATAACAATGCATTTATAAAATTTTTTTATTTAGAAATAGTCTGTAACTATCCGTTTCAGAAAGAAATTTTGATATTTTAAAGCCAAATATAAAAAAATTATATATATTAGTACACAGAATTGTGTGGTGACAAATTATTGGGTGATGCAATGATTAATGCTAGTACTGTAATACTAGCTTTACTTATTTGTCACATTTGACGCGCGTTTAGTATATTTGAACATTTTAGATGCTTTTACGCGCGGATATTTGTTTGTATATTTATTCATTTGGATATTTGTTAAACTTTAAATTTAAAAACGCACAATCTCTCCCCCCCTTCCCAAATGTATATCAAGATACATTGAACGTTCAAACATTCGACATTTGATTTTAGGGTATTAGGGTATTAGGTTTGGGTGAACGGCCGGGGACAAAATACCTATTCGAGTATATTTCCATCCTCTTGGACGTCGCTCAAGCGAACGCCCTGCATCGGAATGGATTGCCTAATAAACCTCTGAAATCAGTTATCTCTATAGCTCGCTAAAGGCAGTATTAATTCGCTCCACTTTATCGTGACGGCGCGGTGTGTGGCGCGCACGTTAAAAAAGCCGTTTTGAAGACTTTCTATAATCCCGAGATCGCCTCTCACCGTCTCTCGCGCTCGCCCGCGGCGTCGCTTACAGCTCCATTCAAAAAACGCAAACAACCTCGGCGTCCAGGGGCGCACGTGAAAACGTTTCTACGGAAGTGGCTCAGCACGTACGCACATGTAATAAAAAATTGTCTGTTTTACGTATAATTAAAGTAGTCATGCAAATTATTTGAGCCCCGAATCGATATTTGGATTTAAAAGTGTAAAACTGTTCTGCGTTCGATTTATCCAAATATCTAAAGATACTTTTTGTGCAATTCATGTCGCAAATAATATGCATAAAATGTTATTAAAAACTCTTTTT